TCTTGTAAAAGAAAATGTCATTGCATATCTTCTCTCAAAAATTCTCTTTGTGCAATTTCCAAATTCAATGTTGTCTTACATCCATACATCCAGTCAGTACCTTTGCTAGAAAATTCAATGAAAAATAATCCCAGAATTATATGTGATTTAAGATTATTTTTTGTAATGAACCTCACCTCCCATGGAAAAGTGGGGTTGTGGGTTGTGACTTACAATACACAAACTAACATCATGATATTTCAAATTGCAGGTTTTGGGGGAGGATTGTTTTGGCCATGATCTCTCTTTAGAGCAATTGACCAAAAATAGAAGGTTCAGCTAATGCTTTGTTAGCCATATTGTATGTATTAATAACATAACATAAACCATGCTCGTTTGGACCTTGTTGTATCATTGGAAGATGAGGTCAAAGACCAGGATGTGGAGGTCGTGGTGGAGATGGAGAGGGGAGAAGAGAAGGCTAAAGAACAAGAGGACGAGATGGAGAGTTCAGTAGAGGTTTCGAAACAACCAAGAGTGGGCGAGGAAGAGATGGAGGAGGAGGAAGAAGATGATATGGAGGAGGAAGACGATGATATGGAGGAGGAGGAAGACGAGGAGATGGAGGAGGAGGAAGACGAGGAGATCGAGGAGGAAGAAGAGAGCGATAGAGACTACACGCCAGATACCTATAGGGCAAATGAAAAGGCTCGTAAGTATGAGCATTCCTTTTATTATATTTGCTATGCTATTGACTGCAACATCGTTAGAAGTCATGAATACTTGGAGTAGAATTTGCCTGATGTTGTTATGAAGATAATACATATTTCTATTATTCATTCCCAAATCACAGGAACAATGCTTCACCATTACAAAGTCCACCTCATGTCGAGGCTGGGAAAATTCAAGTCTGAGGGAAATGCAAGCCAGCATGTGGCCCAGGTGCAGAGGGTAATAGCCTCTTCCCTTTGCAATGGGTCCTTGGATGGCCTTCTCAACGTTGAGGAGGCCTCAAGCATGTGGGTGGCTGAACAGAAGAGGCAGAAGAAGGCTGAGGGGACTGTGGCAAGTTATTGCCACAGTGTAGCTGGTTTTTTCGACTTTTTGGCCACGGGAAAGTTAAAGCACGCCTTCTCCGACGTCCTTGGCATCCCAACCCTCCAGCAGAAAGCCAAAGACTGGAGGAAGATTGCTGCCTCACTAGCGAAGGAAGGGAAAGTGAGGCAGGTTGAACTGACAGAGCGTGGATACCGTAAGAATTCATATATCGAACTGGCCCATTTTGGAGTTTATATGCTGTAACAGTAATGGTAGAACGTAAACAGGGGCTAAATGAAATTCCCCACCCTTAAATTTACCAATAATATAGAAGAGACATCCCCCCCCCCCCAAAGAAAAAAAAAAAATCGCAATAATTACAATTAGTGAGTATAATATATACCCTTTGAGAACATAGTCGATTATACTATTAGTATAATTTTACTTCCAAGTTGCATAAAGAAAATATAATTTCATACCCTTTGTTTTTCATCTCATCACTTCACAGACGACCAACTCACCAACAAAGAGGCCCAATCTCTAAGTGCTGCCTTAGAGGGGTCGTACCTCAACAAGTTCCGTCCTTTATTTGTATCCCAAGTGCGCATTACAGCGTCGTTGGCCCAGGCCATCCGAGGTTATTTTTTACTTAGGATGGCGCTTGACAACGGCGCTAGACCGTCTGAGTTCATCAACATGGAGGTGGAATGGGCCCTGAAAGCCATATATGAAGAGCAAACAAATCAGTACGTCATTAAGGTATGTCATATTAAGTTCAGGTATTTGTTTTTCCGTAGAATTTGACATTTAATCCCTTAAAAGGGAATTAAAGCTTGAAAACAAGTTGCTCTTCGTGAATGCAGAAATCACAAATGAGAAGGCAGAATAAAACGGGCACTGTTGTGTTAGATTGTATATTTAAAAATAATCATTACTTTGTCATTCCTGGCACAATTGGAATAGAAATATATATCATTTATTTGTTATCTAATATTTCAGTTGTCATTTCAGGTTAACGTATCCATGTCTCTTACTCTGCAGGTCCTAACCCACAAGACCGTTATGAAGTACGGGGCAGCGAGGGTGTGTCTCAATAAGGAGCTGTATGACAGGTTTTCCATATATATTAGGCACATCAGGCCCAGATGCCCCGGCTATGAACAGGGTACGAAACATGTCTTTTTCACGACGAGATCCCCCCAAGTCTCCTCATCCTCCATAACTTACTCCATCAAACAGACATGTAAATACCTGGATCAGAGGGCAGTCACAAATACTGGGATTCGGAAGTGGATGTCCAGCATGGTAAATACTCATGATTAAATATTATCAACCGCATTGATTTATTTATTTGCAATGTCTCTCTTAACACCCAATAATACTTTGTATTGCATGAACTAGACAGTTTGATAAAACAAATAAATGTGCTATTAAATAGTTGATCAACCTTTCAATCTTGAAATATTCATTGTTTGACTCTGAAAAGATATACAATACATAAAACCTGCATTGGTTTATCCCCAATTTGCTTTTAGATGGCAGTGAAACACCCAGGGAAAAGGGCAGAGACAGCCGAAGCTATGAACCATCGGCTATCTACTGCTCAAACGAATTATTACAACCTGGATGCGAGGGATGCCAATAAGGCAAGGCTAGCCAGCAATGTGGCAGCCATTTTGAAGGTATCCTTTATCTAAAATATTGTGTAGAACATGAAATTTATATTATAAGGTAAGGTTGATGTATCCAACAATATTTTTATTGCATTTTTTTTTTACTGTGGTTCACTGCCTCCAGAAAGGTTTGGCTAGTAATGTGCTTCCTCCAATAACGGTGAAATCCCCTTTGTGAATAGAATCATCCTACCTGTATAACCAATGCATTGAATCTGAAAAGCACTTCTTGTTTTATATATCATTAAAATTCATGTCTAGTATACCTAATAACATCTTTCATGTACTATCTTACTTGTAGATAAATACACTGTATTTCAAGGTTATGAGGGGGAAATGAAATAAACGCAGCTGTCTCTTTTTGTCAGTCTCCTTCTACTTCAGCTGCTCCATCCAGTCCCTTGGAACTCCCAGCTGCTCCTCCATCCAATCCCTTGGAACTCCCAGCTGCTCCTCCATCCAGTCCATTGGAACTCCCAGCTGCTCCTCCATCCAATCCCTTGGAACTCCCAGCTGCTCCTCCATCCAGTCCATTGGAACTCCCTGCTCCATCTAAGATGGTAAACGCTATGTTATGCAATTATCATATTTTCTTGACTATATTGCCAACCCTTTGCCTGCTGCAGTGGACTAGAGTCGCAATCGTACAATTAAATCAGACAGTCGAAATAATTAGCTTTCTCCTTCCCCCAACAATTGTTATTGTTTCCCGTCAAAATTAATTCAGCATGAAAAATAAGTAACTCTGAATACATTTGATACATGTCTCTATATTGCAATTTATTTGCTGTCCAAACTTCCGCTTCCATATCTCTCATTTGATATTATCTTTGATACGTGTCAACATCCACATGTTAATTCAAATAAGGTTAAATAGATTATAAACACAAAATGACATACCTTTTAATAGCAGGGTTTCTTTGCCTCATTTTCGCATTACAGATGCAGTCAGGCAGAAAACTACGCTCTGCTACAAGAAATAAGGAGCACCCAGTCCTGCAACTGCCACGCCCACCATCGGTTTGTGGGTCCACAGGATCTTCATCCCTGGTATGCTTGGCATATTGTATAATATTGTATTTATGTTTAGCATAGGCTAGGTTTAGATCATTCCTATTTGTATTGTTGTTTTGTTGTATTCTGTATTCTTTGTATTATTAAGCTATGTTTGTATTCTTTATTATGTATCATTATCATGACATGTACATGTGTTGTACTCTCATACCCCAGAAGGGGGTCAAATGAGTCAATAAATTCTATTCTATTCTATGAAACACATTTAAATGACAATTGCAGACCTTTTAGTTGCTTTCCTTGACGGTATTTTCAGACTTGGTTAAAGATTCATCAATGACATTTCAAAATTGTGATGGAATAGGGTTAGACATCTATACAATAATTTGCTGAATTGTTTGAAATATTTGCTTATTAATGCTTTTTTTTAAATGTGCAATTCACAATTCTTTTCTTTATTTCTTTCACCCCCCTTCTCTTTCTCCATAATAGTGCTCGACCACCAGCACCAAAAAACTGAGGGTGAAGTGCAAAAAACTACCCCAACATAATAAGCATCCAATCCCGCTACTACCAGACACATCATCCGTTAGTGTGTCAGCTGGATCATCACCCCTGGTATGTAATGCATTGAAATGGCAATTGCAGCCCTTTTAGCTCCTTTCTTTGACGGGTAATGTCAGACTTGTTCAGAATTTCATCAATGTCATTTTAAAACTGTGATGGAATAGTGTTAGACATCTATACAATAATTTGCTGAATTGTCTGAAATACTTGCTTATTGGTGTTATTTTTTAAATGTGCAACTCTGTTATTATGGGTCAAATTGTTTCACAATTCATTTCTTGATGTCTTTCATCCCCCTCCCCTCTCTTTCTCCATGATAGTTGCCAAGTACCAGCGATCCACCAGCGAGGGTGAAGTGCAACAAACATCCTCAACTTAAGGAGCACCCAGTCACGCCACTATCAGACACCCCATCCATTAGTGTGTCAGCTGGATCATCATCCCTGGTATGTAATGCATTTAAATGGCAATTGCAGCCCTTTTAGCTCCTTTCTTTGACGGGTAATGTTAGACTTGTTCGGAATTTCATCAATGTCATTTTAAAACTAATGGAATAGTGTTAGACATCTATACAATAATTTGCTGAATTGTCTGAAATACTTGCTTATTGGTGATATTTTTTAAATGTGCAACTCTGTTATTATGGGTCAAATTGTTTCACAATTCATTTCTTGATGTCTTTCATCCCCCTCCCCTCTCTTTCTCCATGATAGATCTCCAGTACCAGCG